TTTAGTTTCAGCATGAATAGAACGGCTTAAGGTATAATAAATCATGCTGGTAATTAGCCCAAGTTCTTAACGGTTGGCAACGTCTTGTATCGCTTGCAATCATGAAACCAAATTTTCTGTGCTTGTTTATGTACCACAACGCCTTTTTGAGTTTTATTTAATTATAACTTTAATTATAACAAGAAAAGCAATTTCCTAGCGAGCTTATGTTTGTTAATTGTAATAAATAAATATGTATCAAGGTCACGAACTTTATGCACGCGACCTTCAGATCGAAAAAGTTCCCCCTTGTAGTACGATCTGAGTACCGAAACACTATTTGCAAATATGCAAAATGGACTGCTTATATTCAAAACAGCCCATTGCAGCCTCGATTATATTAGTGAATGAAAAAGTTTTAAAGACATGTCTCAATATTTCCGAAATCGTCAAAAACGTTGTCACTAACCTGACTTTAACCATGCCAAGCTACTTACTGAGGTAACGTTGCCACATCTTATATAAAAACTGCTGCCTGAATAGACCAGCTTTATCGGGGAATTACCACGGCCTCGAATGAGTGGCGTGGCTTAAAAGTATAATAAGTACAAATTCCTTTTTTCCACAAAAGTCTCCTATGTTGCGATGTCATTGGCGGCAAAACTACATCAGCCGCCATTCGAAATTAAAAAATTACATGCCGTTTCCAAACGCTCCGCGAAGTTCGTCGCGCGCGTTCGAATTTCGAAAAGGAAATGGAATTAAAAGTGATTGATCACGACGGCAGCCTATGGAGCATTATTCGAAATTTGAATTTGCATATGAAATAAGACGCGCCAAAGTATGGACTCCATCGGAACAGTGTCGACCGTTTATGTTTAAAAATAAGGCATTTAAGCGGACGCGAATTGGCGGGAACTTAGCGTGATTCCTATAGAATCGCGACGTCCTTTGTAATCCGCTGGGCTTTGTTCGGTATCGCTAATTACGCGTTAAAACGGGCCCTATGTCGGGCTATTCTGCGATAGCCTCGGCGCGGCTCGATCACCACTCGGCAAGGTTTTCCTGTTTTCAACTTGACGAATACTAATTGATGTTAGCGGACGCGGCGCGGTGTGACGTCACAGCGAGCCCATAGAGGCCACGGTTGAAAGAAAAGTCGCTCGTAAACTGCTTCAAACCTGGATCTTTATATCTAAAGACCTTACAAAATTATGGCGGCTTTAATCTTGATGTGATTGTGTCCAAATGTCGAAGCATTTGGCAGATAGATAGTCCAACACCGTTTCAATGGTGGCTTCGTATTGCAATGATTTAAGCAGTGAGTTAGTAATTTTTCGAGTATCGTATAATAAAGGCTTATAATGTGTTCGCAAGTTATGAATCAGTAGTTAGGAGTACAGTGCTGGCCCCCTTGTCACACTACCCTACACTAGTTACTATTATCGAAGTTTAAGCCAACCTTGAGCTTACGCGTAAGCTCTGTTAACTAGTATGCCTATTAGCTCAGTTAAGCTCCAAATGACTCATTAATATCACTCAGTTGTTTGGTCTCTCATCGACTAATTGGTCAATTCTACTTTAGATTTAGAAGCTTCAATGCCTATTAAGAATGATGATAGAGCACTCCGAACTTAGTATATACTTAACTTATTGATGTTACTGAGTACGGTCGGCGGCAAATTGTAACTGATAATATTGATGGTCAGAATCAGATAGTTATTTCGCATCTGGGTGTTTGTCCTCGTGCTATTTATGTTTGTAAAACGTCCTTAACACAGGATAATGTTATCCTAAAGTGAGGCCAAAGTTAACAAAAACTCAAGAATAACTCTAATCTCTAACGGTGGTAGGGCCACGCAGCAGCCTCGGCTGTTGCACGAATGGGCAGGCCCGTCCGGGTAAGTACCACGACCTCACAGAAGACCGGCGTAAAGTGGAAGTATGACAAATACTTTCGCGTTTCGTCTGGTGAGTGAGGTAGCCGGAGCCCAATTTTCAAAAGGTAGTCAACGCATCTGTAACCCTCGGGTTTAGCATATAGTGGGACATGTATAGGCTGATTCTTTTACTTTTACATCAGTACTTGCCACCGATCCCATACCAAATCACCATCTTCCTTACAATGACTTTCAATATTTCCCTCCGCTGAGGGAATCTCAAAGCCGTAAGCAAAACTTGACTTACAAGCACAATTTTATGCTAACGAAAAACAAAACCGACTTCAAATATTTTGCTCTGTGCTCATTTCATAATTGATTTTCAGGATTTCCCTGAGTATCTCCTGGGCCCAAGATCCAATACCAGTGAAATTAATACGGGACCACAAGGGAGGCACCGGCTTTCAAATAAAAAATTTAATCAAATTCGCTTCACTAAAAATACAGAACCTCCTTTTTTGAAGTCGGTTGAAAAATGTAAACAATCATCTCTTATAGAGCAATTGACACTTTTTTTTTAATTATGTGGCAACTCTTAACATACTATATTACGTACTAAATACTACATCACATTAAATTCCCGATATAATCATACAAACGTAATGCTTAGTCGTTTTTTGTATAACGAAATAGCCAGTGCTCTACTGTCATTCATATGCCATATTATGTGTTTTTTTCACACTGTATGTATTCTTCACTTTCGACCTCATCGTACCGAATACCGTCGAATATGTTCCAATTAGTATTACCGACACACGATTAAATAGTCGATCGTACTGCACTCAACGGCCGATAAACGACCAATAACCATTCGAATCGTCGCCGGCCTCTTTAACAACATCGTCACGTGCCCGCGGTCGTGTCGTCGGCTGTAAACGCGCCACCGCGCCACTGTGTACGCGCCTTTATTTGCGCGCCGTGTTTGTTGAGTGCACGCTGCCCTTTATCCTAATTGACGCTCTACGCAATTGGATCGCGCGAATTTGCGCGCGGTGTTTCTTCTCGAAACTTCTATTTTCTGCCCATTATGCCATTTATTGCCCATGATGTAAAGTGTGACATTTTTATTGTGAAACAACAAATCATAAATCAAAGGAGTGTGAGTGAGACCATTATACGTTTTCTTTTTGACCTTGAGCAGTTCCCTTACGTGTCTGCGGAGTCCAAGGTCTAATTCCAATGAAATTTGGGAAACCACATTGGAGCTAAACCGAACTCAATGCTGAAAAAACAAAAATATACAAAATAAAACAGAAATGCTGCTTAAAAAGTCTTTTGAAATCGGTTCGTAAACGACGGAGTTCTAAAGTCAAAGTCAAATATCTTTATTCAATATAGAAGCATTCACTTACTTATTGATAGTCAAAAAACTCTACCACTTCTAACAAATATAAAAAAATACAATTGAAAACCTCCTTCTTTGAAGTCGGTTGTAAGATAGAATTTTTTCGTGATTCCGAGGCGTTCCGATCGCCGTGAAACCAAAATCACGTTTTGATCGTTTAAGTCAGCAGAGGCCAACCTAGCGCTAATGTTTAGTCAACAACTAAAGAGCTGCTTAACCACTAGGAGTTGAAAAGATACACTTTTAACAGACCAAAAGACTAGAACTTACATAACTTAGAACTGTTGATGTTGCGAGTTGGTTTTCTTTCGATTCCATTACATTAATAAGTTGCTCTGAATTCTAAAGCCATCCCACAGTAGTCTCTTCAAACTGCTAACTTAACATGTGCTTGGCGGTAAGAAAACATCGTAAAGTTATCGTCTCAAGAAGTGCCTGTTTAAGCAACTTTACATATTAGTGTGACTGCTTGTGTTTGTGATCTCTGTGATAATTGCATTTAGCTTTAACAACTTTTTGACTTGATGGCGCCGTAGCAAATATAGTGGGTTCGATTTCCACTCGGGACAATGTTTCATCATCTTTATTAATTTAAATATTTATTTCGGTACACTTTAATCTGAACTTTACATCAAGGACTTTATATAACTTATCATCAAATGCTACCATAAGCAAGCCAGTTTAAACCACAGTGTGCGACAGAGACGGAGAACAGATTCAAACTCATCGTTCAACTTGGACCTCTGATGATGATTGAATTCAAACCTGCGGTCTTCAGGCGGAGCTACAGCTACTATGCATCGATGGCACTAATATTTTATCAAAATACTTATACTAAACTATGGAGTTTGAACTCGTAACTGGAACAATGACAGTAGATATAATGACCAACTAAGCAACTAAGCCATCCTTGCAGTTAAATAGTGCAGTTTCGTAATAAGATTATAGTTTTCTATGCAACAAGGCTGTCTTATTACACTTTAAAGGCGTATAACCTATGTTGTCCCACCGATGGGCAGATATGTATTGATGTATAGATAGAGTGAATGTTAGAATCAAAGGTTTCAATAATCGCTAAGCAGTAAAATTGAATGATTGCACTAATAGTTCTCCACAGAGATTTAACTATAACCGTGCCGTGTTGATTAAAAGAAAATATTTTTAAGGCCTAAAGTAAAAAAAATTACGATAGGTATGAAAAGTCGTCAAGTGTAAAATGTAAATAACCGAAAAATACATTGACCTTTATTAGGATCACATGAATTACAATTATTTCTACTATGCAGCTAGTAAAATAATAAATCTAAATTTCTTTTTCATATTCTTGTGTATTATACACAAGAATATTTCAAAGAAATTTTATGCGTTCTAAATATAAATTCTATTGGCGAACACAAAGCATTAATGCGACCTCATTCTGCATCCAATGGTCTATTTCTTTTGGAGAACTTGTTTCGTGTACTCAACAGAAGTAGGAAGGCGAATGAAAATATCGAATAACACACAACAATACTACTTATTATTCCAGCGAGCAGTTTTCTTTTGAACTCCCATACTAGGAATGTCCTGGTCGAGAAGCGAAATTACAAAGCATGTCTAAAAAGACGTCATTAAATAGAATTACGCCTTTCACGGGGCATAGTTTTGAAAATGGAAACGCGACACAAAAACCACCGTCAATCGCCGCCCGATGCCGGCAATTTCGTCCGCGACGTCCGCCTCTAATGACAAAATTAAGAGCGAAACGGGTAACCCGTGCACGCACACAGGCGCGCGCACGCACGACGCACATTTTTTGCGTGAGCGACGTGCGACGCACTCACGGGCGCGTCACGCACACGCGCGCCGGAAATGCGAGCGTCTTCACGCGGGCCGAGTACGCACTCACTCACACGGGCGCGCGTTCGAAGGACACGCGGCGGGGTCGTTAACCCCGAGTTTTTTGCGAGCCAACGCAGCCGCACCGCGTACTGCTCCCGCGGTGCATTGGCCGCTGGCTGGCGATTTTTTTTTGGTTTTTTTTCGCGAACTCCGAAAGATCGTTCACTCGACCGCGCCAGTTGATACCCGAGCTCGCTTTTCCATGCACTGTGGGAATAGGGATATGATGTCAGTGTTTTTTTGCTCCGTTTCGCAACCGGCCCAACTTGTTCTTCACGTCCCGTTTATTTCGATTACAAGTTGACTTTTAGTGCTTTAATTATTAGCGCGTTGAGCCCTTAGGACAACCTTATCGCGTTCGAATGACGACGTTCGTCTGAGTACCTATTAACTCACATTCGAATTTCAAAATTTTGTATTCATCGTGCCGGCTTTACTCACTGCTCGATTTGGAGCGTCGCCACTTTAGACATCAATTAGCGTTAGGCCTTCGTCAAGTCGAACGCACTTAAACTTGCAATGCCAACTAATGCTCAAACGGCCAACCTTGTTCCGTTTAACCGACGCGAACCGGTAACTGAGGCTTTTTTATCCGATACCGCTAACTCGAATAAACGCTGGCGCGGTCACATCTAAATACGAGCTAAGAATAAAATGGTATGGGTAAGTGAACTTTGAAAGCGAACAACACATACCCTTTAAAGCGGATAAAGTTGTGATACTTTTGTTTCGCTCGCAGCGCGGCTTTCGGTCTTTTGTCTGTACTATGTCGACGAAAATAAAACGATCCATATTATTTTAATAACAATTATAAGCTTTCACAATCAGTCGTAATAGAATGACGATGAAATATTAAACAATTGAAATCAGCTGCCAATGTTGAAGAGCCCGACTATATTATTAAGGACCTAACCCAAGACCGATTCGGCGCGGCCGCCACCCCAATTTCGTCCCTAACCTACCCCAAGTAGACGCCGCCTGGTGTGCGTGTTACGCGCCGTGAGCGCGCGTGTGTGCGAGCTACTTCGAGGCGTTCGATTTGTCATCCGATTCTTTATTCGAATTTGTTGTTTTTTAAACGAGTCGACGACACCCTTGACGGGCCTTTGTTGCCAGCGTTATTATTTTGCACAAGGAATTAAGATTATAACCTATTCATATATAATTATTCATTCAAGTTTTCATATTTTAGTGAAATATAGCATAGTATTTAATAAAATATTTCTCATAAATACAAGTGTGATCGAGAAAATACTGTTAAAAAGATTATTAAATAAATTTCTATTACTTAGTACTTCAATCTAATTTTTTTTCGATATGCAAAAAAAAAATTTAGATATTATCTGTAGATTAAAATAAATAATCTACCTGATATTAACGATGTTGAAAGCCTAATCGTAGTCTTAAACTAATAGTTAGAATTTTAATTTAAATAACCTTATAAACTAATTAAAAAAACAACTATTAACTTTCGCCTGAGAATAAAACAAAACGCACTTGCCAATTATTTAGAAATTACATCAGCATCGCGATCGCTTAGCAATGTTCTAATGCTTATCTCGTCCATAAAAACGCACCTGCCCAACTATTACATAAAAACAAGACATTAAACATATTCGTTTAAGTATGCTTCAGCCAAACGCAGGCGCCGTGTGTAAAGCGATTGCCGATGTGTGCCGACCCATATAAAACATCTGTGTGTGCGTGTCCTACATAAATACAAATACAAATTAAAGCCCCAATTCGCGTGCGTGTGCGTGAGACGCGCGTGTTTGGCTTCTTCGCTCGGAATTCCAAGTTTGAAATTGGAATGAATGACGGCTGGGTCACTGACCTACGTCAAAGTTCCTTTAATAAAGTGCTGTTTTCTTATTTTAAAGAAACCAGCGGACTTTCACTTTTAATTGGCCAGTGTCTTGGCTTGGCAACGTACAGTTGAGATCTGTTCTCTTATTTAATTGGAGGCAATTTTAAACAGTAAAGTTTCAACTTTTTTTTTTTGAAAAATGTATACTAGTGTTATTATTTTGTATATTTTTATCGTGTATTGTGGTATATATTCAATTATTATATTGTAGTGTTATAGATTACCCTAGTGTAGTAGTAGCTTGATAGATGAAATTGATTTATTAAATGTATATTTATGTATGAAAATAAATAAATTCAGTGTAATTTTCGAACGGACGCATTAGGAACATTTTGAGTTCATTAAAATTCAAACACAACACCGGATTTATATACAGTAATTTTTAAGTTAAAGTTCATTACAATATTTCTTATGGATTCCAAGCTACGTGGTTAAAAAGTCGAGCTTTAGTGAAACACGTAAAACTAATAGTCTTGTGTTAAAACGTTTACCACGAGATTTCAGTTTTAAAGTTTTATTTAATTTAAAAGAGGTAATGACAGTTAATATTATCTGAATAATAAGTCGTAGAACATTAAAGTTTTATTGTAATTACAAAAAAGAAACAGTTGAATTCTCTAAATTGGATAAACGGAATGCGGTTACCGGCTAATGACTGTTTCGAATTCGTTCCATTTATTCGTTGTAAACGAATTATTTCTCCGTGTTTTATTTTTAACGTTAATTAAGTTTCTAAACGAAAACAACGGACGTGAAGCAGCTTAGCGGGGCGGGTTCTTTTAGAACTGGCCGAAGTGAATTGCGTACTTTATGTAACGATCTCGGCGGGAAAAAAAAACGAATACGGCTTGTTTTCACTACTTTTTCTCTGTCATCAAACTCGTTCAATTCCAGCGTAAAGCGCTGCTTTTGCTGCGTAGGGAGAGTAACGCGAATTATCAATTCCATGCTATCATGGTGGCCACACTTCCATTCTTCTAGAAAATGTTTGTATATTTTCAGCATTTTATAATAAAAAATCGAGAGGAATATCTAATAAAAAAAGATGACAACTTACATTATAAAATACAGTACTAAGCTCCTTTTGCGTAGATCGGAATAAAAATAAACAACAAAATAATTGACGGTAGCCGGGGTTAACTTTGACATCAAGACGTGTACCTAATAACTTTGTCTGTCCCGTGACCATGAATGTTGGAAAGGGTTCGAAACGTCAGGAATTACGAAATCAAAATAAAAAAGCGATAAAATCCGTAAACTAGTTTCATTTAATATAACAACATTCCCTAATGCAGAAGTCTTCAAAAATATACGTGTATTATGCGATAAGCAAAATTTCAAAACTCGAAAGCAATTATACTTGTTAATATGGTCTCAATCCCGTGTACTGTTTACAACTCTCAAATTCATATCGCCGCACACGTCAAAGTTTCCTTAATGTAATCGATATGCGAAATTTTGCATCAATTACGGCGATGAAAACTAAGTTAAGTCGCTTACAATTCACCAATTAGTAAAGTCGTTACAATTGATACGCTGTCGGTGGTTGACTTTCAACTAGGGGATACCAGTTCATTTCTATCGTCTCATACAAATAAGGCACGCTTTTTTTTAAAAAAAGGCACAAATATAAGTTTGTTTTCTATAATGTCAACAGTGCGTGGTACTAGTATTTTAACTTCAGACCGCGCATCGAAATACTTAGGCGCTAGGCTAATTTTTTTTTAAAAAGGTTCAAATCGTAAAGCACGTAAGACTGGCCGCAATTTCGTGATTAAAAAACTAAGGTTTTCAGTGTGAGTCTTAACGGAACAAAAAACGATCACACCTTAGTGGATGCCGCTGGGGACGGAACCCGCGACCTTAACATCGAAAGACCGTGTTTGCAGCAACTAGGCTGTTGCGTTAAATTAAATAAACGCGCGGAAATAACTCCACAAAGTTTCTCGCGGTATAGCGACACCCTGGTAGCGAATCTTGGCGTATGCTCCGTGGAAAAAGTGACCGTTAAACGCCACTGGACACCGGGAGCACCACTTTGTTTCCGCTGCGTTCGTAATCTGCGCGGGGGGGGGGGGGGGGGGGGGGGGGGGGGGCCGTGCTGCGTGACGTCATCGAATAACAGTACTCGTATTACGAATAAGCAAATGTTGACAATCAGACCAAATTAACCCACTTGGTAAACTAAATCAAAAGAACAAGCCTTAATACATTTAAAACTGAACAGGTCGCTTAATAGGGGCAAGCGAGTTACGAAATTCCACAAACAAAAAAAGGAACATTAATTTACTAACTTGTATACAAACGTCGCAATTACCTCACCGTAATATCAGCACGGATAAAGTCAGAAATTAAATTTCACTTAGATTCGTATAAAAGTATGTTTCTTTGCAATTGTTTTATAAAATTAAAAGTTTACTTCTCCTTGACTTTAATGACATCTCGTAGAGTTTTTAGCTATGAGTAGAAATGATCGTTTATCATCTAGCTATAATATTCTACTGAAAACAAAAACATCAGTTAAAGTGCAAGTATTGAGGTCTTCTATAATTTTTGGTTTACGATATTATCTCTCCGTTAGCTACACTTTAATATTAAAAACACCCCTAAAAATAGAAACTAGTCGATTTTTCGGGAATGGATAAGGCATGACTCTCAGGCGTCTCTAGTGCAGTAGTAGTTATGGAGGCATAAGATTAATATATGGATCCCGTCCGGGTAAGTACCACGACCTCGCAGAAGACCGGCGTAAAATGGAAGTATAATACTTTCGCGTTTCGCCTGGTGAGTGAGGTGGCCGGAGCCCAATTATCAAAAGGTTGTCAACGCATCTGGAACCCTCGGGTGTAATAGATGTCCATGGGCGGCGGTATTCACTTAACATCAGGTGAACCGTCTGCTCGTTTGACAACTTTTCACACAACATAAAACAAAAATGAACGAGTACCACGTCTTTACACAAGACCGGCGTGAGGTGGGAGTGATACTCTTTACATCGCCTTAGTGAGTGAGGTAAACGAGGCCAACTCTTTTTGAAGATTGACACATGCTCCTCGGGTAATGTAAATGTCCATGGATGGCGGTAATCACTTAACATCAGGTGAACCATCATCACTTCACAGTCGACAGTGGTGGGGCCACGCAACAGTATCTATTAGCACTGCTGCACGAATGGGCAGGTCCGGCCGCGGAAGTACCGCGACCTGGAATTGGATGTGGTCTACTTCTGTGTTTCGTCTGGTGAGTGGGGTAATCGGAGCACACTTTATTAAAAGGTGGCAACGCACCTGCAACCCTCGGGTGTAGCAGATGTCCATGGGCGGCGGTATTCACTTAATATCAGGTGAACCGTCTGCTCGCTTGGCAACTTTTCACATAAAAAAAAACCCGTTGATGTGATTGTGATTTCTTTTATGTGGAAAGATAGCAAGCGACCCGGCGTTTCACCTGATGCTATGTGGTAACTGCCGCCCATGGGTACTTACAACACCCGTAGGGTTGCAGATGTGTTGCCACCTTTTAATAAAGTGGGCTCCGGTTATTCCACTCACCGGACGAAACACAGAAGTATAAGACTTCGAATTCCAGGAAAATGAAAATTGGGCTTCCACTTCACGCCGGTCTTCTGTGACGTCGTGGTACTTACCCGGACGAGCCTGCCCATTCGTGCAACAGCCGATGCTGCTGAGGGGCCCCACCACCGGAGACATTTTCAGTGGGACATTTTCAGAAATAACTCTTCTTTGATCATTCATTTATTTTAGCTTTCTAATTTAACTAACATAAAAGAGGCTTATCGTCTGTATCAAATTAAATTTTTAATTCTTAATAGAGAATTATAAGGGAAATTCATTTCGTCACATTAATTAAGAATCGGAATTTAAGAACGGAGCAACGGGTGCACACTGAAAAATATATCCGATTTTATTTCCTTTTTTTTAACAATAATGTCTCCGAAATACGGACTTCCGGTTTTTTTTTTTCAGTGGAAAAAATCAAAGGCCTTCCTTTGCACAGTTCCGTAGGCGTGTTTCCCCATCCACGTGCGAGGGAGAGGGATGACGTGCGTAGCATAGTGTTAGACAGTGACAGGGTGAGGGCGATGACCTCTAAAACAAATCGTCGGTGGAGAGGGTTCGGTTAGAGTAGTGACAGCAAAACAGAAAGAGCGATCGCTGATTGAGTCATTAGAAGGTCATCATTGATTAATCATTTTCTAGATGATTTCGTCATTAATTTCTATCGAAGGGGTTGTTGTGTCAATGCTTTTTGCTGCCGGATTGAATGGTTAGCGAGTACAGAGTTCTGACTGCGTGTTCGAAAAAGGACTTCAATAAATCTCTTTGAATCTTATGAACTCCTAGTACCCTGTGCAGTATTTCAGAAAAGATTTGATATTTTTTTATTGTTGAATTGTTCAATTTTTATTTATTACACATTTAAATGTATCTTTTTTGTATATTTAAATGTATTTACTTATTCCATACAGTTTTGGCATACATTTAATGTGTTCGATAATAAAAAGAAACGGTAACAACTACACCAAATAATCAGTTTAAAAACAAAAATTGTTCAAAAACAAATATACAAAATGAAGAAAATCGTCTGTGGATCACACACCTGTCCTGGGAAGCGAACCAACGTACCGCGTGTTCGATGTATGTTTCTTAACAACTGCGCCAACGGGGTAATTCATAAATTTTTGCGTGCCCAAATTGTTAAAAGAGTCTTGCGTTTGGAATTTAATAACTTTAACATTAATTTATCATTACATGACATATTTTGTTATATTTTTTTCAAATTTATGCAAATTAAATTGTCAACGTTGACAAAACAAACGCCCGGTTTCTGAAACACTGATCATCGTAGATGTCAACTAATCAGCTGTCAAATGGCTTATCAAATTTCATTTTAGTTACCGAAAGGATGGTTAAACTCTTTGAATTGACAAGAATGAGTTTCTTAATGATCGGAATGATCGGCATGATCAATTCTTTTGGCAACGCAAATGACATTTGAAAAGCCATTTAACAGCTGATTAGTTGACATCTACGATGATCAGTGATTTCAGAAACCGGGCGAAAGTGTGTTAAACAAGTAGTTTATTGACATACCTAGTGGAATCATAATAGAGACTTAAAACCTAACCAATAACTTGGTCAGAATTTTATTAAATATGTAGTTGCAGATGATTTCAGTCATTCCTTAACATTGTTCCCTTTCAATATATCTATAGTTTTCACAAATATTAACTATGTTTTATTGTTTATCCTTATTCTTTAACCTGTCCATTTCTAAATAAATAATAACATTCGATTACTACACCGTGCGTTGCTGGCTGTACTTCTATCTAGGCGCACCCTATTCCCTAGGTTCGTTACAGACCTAGACAGGGACCTAGGCGAAAAACTGCAAGGGTGCACTATCACATAGATAACGCCGTTACCACGGCCGTGTCCGTTCGCGTGTGTGCGCGCGTGCGCCTGTGTGCCGGATTGCGTACTCCAACTTTTGCGCGGTGCCTTTAAGTACTAATTAAATATCGATTTTTAGCCTCGGCGCGGAGGGCGGTTATAATCGAGATGCAACCGGGGGACGGTGGAATTTTGCGTAACTCCTTTGTGCGAACTCCGTCCGCCGTTGGCGAGTGCGTTTCCAATTAATTCCAATGTCGATACGCGGTCGGTATTAGCGCTTTCGACGCGGTATCGATTCATACTTATATTTAATTGTGCTGGTTCCATATATTTTTTAGATTTCGATAACGGATACGCTCGTCGGTATTAAAAACGCGTGTTTCTATGCGTTTGCCGACTCGAAGCCGAGCCACTAGGGTACCCATTTAAGCCGATAAAAACTGGACAGGACAACTCTGTAACAATATTTGCAAATATAGAATACTTTCTAGATATAAACAAAGGTACAAACTAAATTATTTGTTTATACAGAAATTGATATAGAAATTTATATGTTTCATATTTATACTAACCTTATTTTCATTAAAAACTTAGGTAAAGTTGTTGTGATCTGTATAAGTTACAATGGGATTGGCGTATCTTTATAGATAAAAACCCCATAAAAAAAAGATAAAAGAAAAGACCTCTCCTCCAGTCTTCCGGAGCTCTCATAGTTCTCTTTTCAATCTTCCGAGAACTTCCCACAAAGGCAGTCAAATCATCTGACCATCATTAGGTTTGAATCGGTGATAAAATAATTACAGTACAATTTTTCGAAAATAAAGCTATTTATGAACTTTAAAGTAATTACATAAAACTCTATTTTTACGGAATCATCGCATTTACGTAGAACTAAACTTCCAGAGTTTCAGAAGCTTGCAGCAATCACGGTCACGATCATATAAAGTGTTCGCGTGAATATGAGAAACTTACTAATATTATAAACGCGAAAGTTTGTATATATGGATGGATGTTTGTTACTCTTTCACGCAAATACTACTGAATGGATTTCAATAAAACTTTACAATAATATAGCTTATAGATCAGAATAACACATAGGCTATAATTTACATACATATTTTTGTTTATATCTGTCTTCTGAATGTTACGCCTTCGGTCTATTCTACGTTGACTCATCCTAATCAGCGAACTACTCACTAAACTCACCAATTGATTAGCTCGCGAGTTTCGCTCACTGGATAATTCGGTCACCAAATCTCGGCCCTCGAGGTGCACATGTAAAGCTCCCGCCCGGCGATAGAGCACGCGCGGCTCCGCTCCGCAAACATTCGAAAGGCGGGCGAACAGTTTTTTTTTTTTCTCGAAACGTGTCGAAAACGGCCACGCGGACGTGCCGGGCAGCGGGGATTCCCCGTCGCGACATGTCACGTAACGCGTCGGGAACGCGACCTGTGCATTTGCGGCCGTGCTCTAGTGACAATAACGTGGCTCGATGACTGGCGTGTGCACTCCATACAAGCGAAGAAGCTTTGCGTACCCCGTCGTCCCATACAAACGTGCCCGTCGTCCCATACAAAACACCTATTAACAAGCTATTATAATTATATCTATTTAAGTTATCATTTACAGATGTCAATGTTTAATGATAATTTTACTTTAAATCTTGACTTTCCATGTTCATTATTGAGGTCTAAAGGTAAAATCATTATTTCACCATATCCTGTCTGTGTCTGAGTCTACTCTAATATGAACAACATATTGCTGCGTAAAACTAGTTTATGGAGCGTTGCGTTGATTTTAATTTTGGATACAAATGAAATACAATGCACAACCACTACTGTAATTGCCTCAAGATGTAACTACAGCGCAGAGCGAACGAAAAGAATCATTTAAAAACGCTGAAAGTAGAAAGTAGCTACTAAATTACCGCTCTCAGAGATGCCGTTTAATTGTCAGTCAATTATTCTCTCTGACAAGTGTAGCCTTATTCTTTATGGTCGAGTTTCTCAAATGAAATAATTAAAGGTCACCCAGTTTATACTAATTGTCGTGACGAATGTCATATCATAATACTTATCCCGTGCCTAAAAGGGATGGAGCGATATACCTTACCATTAAAAGTAGAACATAATGCAGGGACACTTTGAGCTTCGTCAGCATCGCGAATTAATACACGGGAGGGCCGTCTCTCTGTTCCTCATTAACCGACTGACTAAATTGGCATTTGTTAATTAAATCGGCCCGTCTAATTTGAGCCCGTGTGGGCGCGCCGCAAATATTTTATGTGCGCTGAGGACAATGGGACAAAGCGGCGCGCAGTGCTCACATCCCTGGTCGGGGAGACGCGGGCATAAGTAACGATGGTTGAACTGGGGAGAATGGCTTAAAAAATCAAGCTCCCTCCACGCGCGCGCCTTTCAATTAACCCAATTCCACGTGTGAGAGTCCCGCTGAAACAATGAATACGAAGGTTTTGGTACTAAAATTTAATTCTTAGCTTCAATAATAACTTACTACTCAAATTCTTATACTTGATTATTAAAAAATTTCAACATCGCCACATTGCATAAAAATTTACAGAAATATACTAAGTACAACAAAAAGTATTAAAATTTAATGAATGCCACATTCGACTGGTGTAACTAAAAATAGCCAATTTAACTTCAATAAATATCGACCCATTAACAGCAAAGTTCAATCTCACCTAGATAGGAAACGAATATAGTTCAAGCAAAACAAGTTATTGTCATCTTTGAGTGCGGCGGTTATTAGACAATGAAATTCATTACTTTCTACTTAGAAATCAGTATACGCGAATGGGTGGCAAATGGAAAGAAAATTCTTCTTTATTAATTGACATTAATGTTACTTTTTATTTAACGTAACCGTTTACCAACAAAATAACACACAAACACAGCTAATTAATTAACGGCTAATTAATCAAATAACGAAATGAATCCGCCTGTTATCCCGTTCAGTAACGTTTGTGGGATCAAAAGCTCCTTCCACCAGCATCGATTGCGTTGCGGCACAAGAAACGAGTCGCCCCGCAAAACAAAAGGCAAGTTTAAAGAAAAAGTCCCAATTACGTTTCCCCCCCTCCTGCCCCCTCATCAGCCCATCACCCTTCGGGTAGGGGCGCGTCTGAAAGTGGGCGGATTGGTTAACGCTGACGCTTGTGACGTACACTGTTTTAATATCTACTATTAATCTAATTAACGACAAACGATACTGACAGTAAAAGATTATTTAACATTAATTTCGTCTTAAATAAGTTATTCTGAATCAATTACAACATTCGGGAAATATGATTTTTAGAACTTTCGAGTTCTTTGAAATCATTCTCAAATTATTATTTTCACTTGGATCGAATAATCAAGATATTTGTAGTTAATTACTGTGTCCTTCAATTAAATTTTTGTCTTTATACAAATTATCATTATTATTTCATCTAGAGAGATCTGTTCAATATGTTACAAAGTATATTTTTATCTATATTTATACATCTTCTAATTGTAAAAAGTTTTTATGACACATGCACATATGTTACGGTAATTATTAAATTTAATTGCAACATAAAACGTCTGAGAAACAACTGTATTATCCGTTAAATTGTTATGTTGTAATACAAAACCCACTTTGCTTTTAGAAAACCGCCACTGAATCTAATTATACAGCATCAGGAAAAAAATAGTGATTTTGCAACAGCAATATGATAGAAAAATGCCCCGCGGAGCCACCGAAATGGTGGCTCCGTGGCGCAGTTGCCAAGGTATTGACTTCGGCGTCGGGGGTCATGGATTCGATTCCCACACGGGACCCACTAATAGTTGCTTCGCATCTGGGTGTTTGTCAGCGTGAAATTTATGTTCGTAAAAAACGTCCTCACAACACAGGATAATGTTATCTTAAAGTAAGGGCGATGCTTTTAAAAAAATGTCTAGGTGTATTGTCGAAACACCTGATTTATAATGTCGATTACTCTATAATCGACTAATAAAACCCTATACAGTTACATGAATAATAAATAGTAATCACAACACTAAATAAAAAGACAATCATTGACAACGACTCTGCGGAATAGTACGTCGTTTTCACAATGTGCATTAAGAGAATAAATCTATGCGAAATATTCACACCAACTATAATAGTTTGACAAAAGATTTAAATACGAAGAACCGACTACTTTGTTTGTAAAAACATTTTGATACGAAGACGCTTGCACTAGGGACGCACCTTTCCCCCAAAGAGTTTTATTGCACTGTCCGAGGAAAGTAATTTCGTGGGTCCGACTTCTAGTTTTTAAGAAAGTTCATTTCGCACCGCAGACATTTTTCCAGCGTCTCCAGGGCGCGGCCCAATCTAGGTGTTAGGTGGTTGCTTCTTATAACTTTGTTTCGAGCGATGCCCCGTACGAACAGCGCTGTGCAGTCGTTAGTTTTGTCTGAATTTAATTTCTTTGCTCTCGCTTTGAATGAGCATTCGTTGTTTTCACTATTTCGAAAGACTTTCAGTCTTTAATTTATTAGTGCAAAATGAGCGCCGAAAACTGTTTATGAGTTTAATTAATTTGTTCATCGAATGTAGCTAATAATATTATTGAAATGTTTCGTCCAATATCGACAGTATTGTGATAATAAATCAGATGAATGGACAAATACTAAATATGTTTTTAGTAATTTTTCAATTAAAACATAGGTGCATTTTAATAAAAAATTATTTTAATAAAAAAAACTTATTACTTAAAAATAAATCAAAAGTTTCACGAAGTAAACACATCGAATTCGTAATGTATAAGTGCTTTTTTTTTTTAAATAATTTTTATGTACATATATCTGACTTAACTTGATCGGCGGAGTTGCTAAGCTAGACTGGGCCGTCGCGGGTCGTCAGTTTGATTCCCATAAGTTACAGGTATTTGCAAAGCCCAATGATAATTGTTCCGGGTCCAGATGAAGAAATCCTAACTTAGAGAATCCTAGCAAAGAAAATAAGAACAAACAAACCGAACATAGATTCTATACTATATAATATCTCGTCACGACATAGCTCTTCTAAAGTTAACTCCAGTATTTTGTTTAATTCGAAACTGGCCAGCACTTGACTGCCATCCCACCTGATGGTAAGCGGCGATGCAGCCGTTGATGGTAAGCGCGCTAGCTCAGTAAAAACCTATTCACTCTTGCCTTGAAGACGCCAACGTTGTAATCGAAAAGTTTAGTGTTAAAGTGTAAAGTTTGTCGAGTTACGAAGTCACCCAGTCACCCAATCACCCAATGCCTCTGTAACACTTCACGGACAGAGGGCAAATCTTAGCAATAAGTATGTCATCCAGAGCAAGAGATGCTGTCAATATTTCGTATATAAATAAAAGTATGTTTGTTTGTGTGTGACAATTACTCTAAACCATTAATACCTATATTAATGGTAACCATTATACATACTGGGTAATAGTTTCGAATAACTGTCACTGTTATATTATACGTATCAAATTAATATCATGTAAGTGTATGCGTTAATATAATAGTTGTAGTTTCTAATATATAAATAAATATATAAAATCTATAAAAAATAATAAATCTGTTATATAAAATTCTCGTGTCACGGTGTTTGTAATTTAGCTCCTGTGAAACGGCTCGACCGATTGTTCGTGAAATTTTGTGTGCATATCGGCCAGGGTGGAGAATCATATAACATCTATTTTTCATCCCCCTTATATGTTAAGGGTGGTCCACCCCTAATCGTTTAATTTTTTTATGATACAGCATACAAAAATACATACAACCCTACATTTTCACCCCTCTACGCAGACGTAGTCGCGGGCAGCAGCTAGTATAATATAAATAAATGTGATATATGATGGTAGTATGATAATAAAACATTGCATGCTTTTTCGTTAGGAAAACCACGTACAAAATAAAGTAATAACTTTATTTTATATATTATAATGTAAGTTATACAAGGCAGTCATTTTTCCAATAATTTAAAATGTTATAGAGTAATGTATTATCGAAATCGCCAAACTAGTGTGTAAGTAGAGGAATCGTATGAATCAATGAAATACAGTTTTAACTGTTAAAAAAGAATTCAAAAGAAAAAAACTAAGTATATTATGTTTTCCGTAATTTTATTTAATTTCTAAAATTACAATGTAAAAAACATCCTCGCATGTTTTTCAATTACAAACAGAGGAAATTTCACAAATTTTAACGTACACGTTGATGAGAAAGCGTTTAAAATAAATCTGGGTCCTAAAAATTATTAAACGCAATCGAGAAACACACGTGAAAACATCTCAATGCGCCACAACATTTATCGCTTTCCAACGCTATCGCTTAGCTCATAGAGGAAGCCAGCATTACTTTTATGAATGTGTTCTATGCCGATCTTATATGTATTGCGTCCTCTTAGTGGCGTGTCTCTTTGTCCTTACTTTTTTATGTGAGAAAGTTCCAAACGAGCTGTTGGTTCACCTGATGTTAAGTGATAACCGCCACCCATGGACCGCCACCATGCGTTGCCACCTATAAATAAAGTGGGCTTTAATAATATAAATACTTTCGGGATTTTTGTTCACGTTATGCAATCCATTAATTTAACAAAATACTAAAAATGTATAAATTTTTAATTAATGTCATTATTATATTATATATTATTACCCGAACGAAAGCCTTTTTTGGTTTTACACATTGATCGCTATTCTACTTCAATGATGTTGTTCATTGTCTTCCAAATCAATTCGAAATTAACAATGTTGTGATAGCTTGAGTCGTTTGGCGCAGTTGCCGAGTATAGCTTTCGCCACGACGGACGGGTCGGCGGTTTGATTCCGATTCAGAAAACGGGTTTGTGTGATCTGAAAATATATGCGGATCTGGAAATTCTTCTAATTTAAATTATTTATACTAGCGACCTACCGCGGCTTCGCACGGGTGCAATGTATCATACATATAAACCTTCCTCTTGAATCACTATCTAGTAAAAGAAGCCGCTTCAAGATCCGTTGCGTAGTTTTAAAATCTAAGCATACATAGGGACGGACAGACAGCGGGACGACTTTGTTTTATACTATGTAGTAATACAACTTCTATTTGTATTTAATTTTTTACGTTATAAACAATTCATCTCGAAACACGATTATATAAACATTCCAATCAGTT